CGGTCGATATGGCTCCAATTTTAATAAGTGAAACACTTCAATCTTTTCTGAAACCAAGAACGGCTGCTCGAATACTAAGCTCTCATTTTTATGTGTATATCAGACTTGTGTCTTTCACTATTCACCTATTTGTCTGTGTATCTGCCTGTCTACCTATCGGTCCATCCATCGACGTCGACGTACATCTCTTACTATTTGAGTCTGTTTATCCGTGTATCTGCCTACCCGTATCTCTCGCTCTCTCTATCTCGCCCTTTCTTTTTAGCTGTCTATGTACCTATCCACCTAGCTGTCGACCCCTGTCTATCTGTCTTTCCGTCTGTCGGCCGATCTATCTATCGATCTATCTTTCGTTCTCTCTATCGATCTATCTGCCTATCGATGTACGTATCTTCCGGTCTATCTTTCTTTCTTTCAAATGGGGGTTTCCGAAAATAGGGGACCCTAATATAGTACCCTAAATAATAGGATCCTTATTATAAGGACCCCAAAATAGGGTACCTTAATTTTTGGAAACCCCCAAATGTGCTCCCGAGGTTTGGCGTCCAGGATCCTGGGATCCCACTCCCTGCAGGCCGGTGAGGTGTCGGGTTCAGGATTAGAGGGATGGGTTCAGGGTTCAGGGTTCAGGGTTCATGGTTTCAGGTTTTCGGATTAGAACCCAGAGGCTCCACATATAGTACCACTATGGAAGTAGGTCCCACAAGACCATTCTAATTAAGTTTTTAGAGACCTAATTCCATAATGATACTATAGGTGGAGCCTCTAGGGAACTAGATTGAGGGATTTGAGTTTGGGGTCCCCGCCCCTTGCAACTTTCACTGAGCGCGAAGAACGCAGATCTGAAAGGTTCTACAAGCTGTACCCTAATGGCTCCGAAGAGGTACCGTGACTCGGAATGATGCCAGGACTATGTCAGGCATTCACATACAATGTAGGTTCGAGGTCCGTGGCTGAAAGGGTGTAGAAACCGCGCGAAGGCATCCACTGATGTTTGACCAAGTGATTGGCATGGACCCCATACTGTTAGAGACCTCGAGTCCTCGAGAACATTGATGTTTCTAAGCCCCCGTCAAGAACCCCAAACCCCAAACCCATGTGATGGGCATCGACAGTCATCTTGTTTTCACACCGACTGCGCACATATGGACCCTCGCCTGGCTTGTCCGAGTTGTGAGAGTGTAAACCCATGTGATCTTTTTCAGTTGAGATCGGCATGTATCACATGACAAGGTGTTCGTAATGTTGCAGCGGCCGCTGGCTCGACTTGTACTGTCACTGCTGAAGGGCAACCTCCTGAATGGCCAAAAAAATGGAACTTGACGTAATTCCCATGGCTTGGGGTGTGTAGGGTGAAGCAGATCTTACTCATCAGCACATTAGGCACCTCTAGCGACAATCTTGGCATCCTGTGTGCTAGTCGTCAACCCTGCATTGCAGGCATAGTCCTGGCTAGGCCAGAGGAAAAATTGACCGGCTTCCTAAAACACTGAGATTCGAGGAAGGTTGAAGGTGGCCCCTTTACTTTACAGATTAAGTCCTCACAGACTTATTTCTGATCTCGCTGCTCGTCGGTTATGGTAGATCTCAGCGTGCACAGGTGTTGTTCGGGGACAAGCCCCGCAGCAGTTCGCTGTTCCTGCACCTCGGATCGCGCAGGCATTGCGCAGTCGCAGGATTCAGGGTTTAGAGTCTGCGGTTGGCTGCTTTGAGACTTGGAGAGTTGACGGTTTGCAAGGTTTTGCCTTCAGGCTTTAGGGCAGATGTCTTTATCAAAGATCAACCAAAGGCAACTTGCTGGAACTGGTTTCACTCATCCTTGTCATTTGCCCAAGTCAAGTAGGAGGTTTAGTGGCACAAATCGTGTTGGATGGATGCCGCACTGTCTTGTGACATAAGATCCAAAATCCAGGGGTATCACTGGGAAGCCGTGGAAGCTTCAACCGTCATTGTCCTGGAAGCCGTTCCCCCAAAAAATTGAATCCGCATACCGCAAATCAAGAAAACCCCCCCAAATCCTGAAGACCAAGCCAAGCCTGACACACCCAGACATGCTTGGCCCCAATCCTCTATAAGCCACTTCGGCGGTGTAAGGTTCACGACAGGCATTAGCTCGGAGCCTTAAGTCCCTCGACCCTACGATCCTCCACCCGTAGGTCTTCAGCATTAAGCCCGAAACCCGAAGCCCATATGGGTAGTTCTCTAAATTAGGGGCCCTTTTTGGGTCCCCAGTATAGTACGGCACCATTATATAAAAAGGACCCTAAAAAGGACCCCCAATTTAGAGAACTACCCATATAAAGTCTGCTGAGGCGAAACAAGTGCAGGAACTCGAAGTCGATGGGGCACCTCGACAGCCATACGCCTTTGATTCGGGCTGTGGCGTGTTCTTTTTTTGTTGGGGACGGGGGGGGGACTACGAACTTCGAGGTCCCTTATCTAGGGGCCCTGATAGTAAGAGGGATCTACGGTCGTTAGTTTTCGTAGACTCCGATGGCTCTCATTGTTCCTAAATAGCAGCATGCCTGACCAATGTCGTTGTCGCGAGTACTAGACTTTCTCAGGCCAACGCAAGGCAACTGTGTTTACACCCCCGCAGTTAAGTTAGTGTATAAGCTTGTCTACCATGTCCCCCGGACCTGTAATGTAGGGGCCTAAACAATTACCAATGTTTTTTTTTTTTTTGGGGGGGGGTTCCTTATTTTTATCACTAGAGTATAATGGGCCCCAAAAGCCTATTCTGATTATTAAGGCCCTTGCATTAATGGGAATGCCAATAGCTAGAAACAAGGTCATACCAATTTTGACGTGAACAGAAGCAACAACACTAACAACGGTAATACTACTACTGATGATGAAGAAGATGCTGATGAGGATGTTGGCGATAACAACAGCAAGACACATTATCATGACAAGGAAGTATGTACCAAACTCCTGTTCTAAATGTTCCGGCCCCTTTGTTCCGAAGCATGTGAGGAATATGAGTACCTAACACCCAGAATCGTAAGCCCGCAGCCCTAAGATCCCCAAGCAGCGTGGCAGTGGAAGAGCTGCAAAACCCTCATGCACTGAAGCCGTGAAGCTGTACGGCCTTCAAGCCCTAAAGCTCTAAAGCCCCAAACCCTAAACCCCAAACCCTAAACCCTGAAGCCCTAAAGACAACTATCTGTCCATATCACGCCGACCTGCTACTATGGAGCCTCGCCTGGCATGTCCGAGTTGTGAGAGCGTAAGGAGCCCTGAAACTCCTCGCTACAGCTCTAAAGCCACAAATCCCTAAACCAGATCCCAAGCACGCCCAAGGTCACCTTGGTTCGGGGAGCTTTGAAGGACGATGTGCGGAAGCAGTGGAGTTGGAGTGTAGGTTCGCGGGTAGGGAAGCCTGTGGCCTAAACCCCAAAAGAAGGGTCTGGGGGTTCAGGCTCCTCGGATTCTATCGGACTTCGCCTTCATAATCTAGCCTGAGGTGTTCGAAAGCCCGCCGAAGTCGAAATCCGGGCCCAAGCCCGACCACGAATCCCCAAAAATTCAGCAGCCCCAAACCTAAGATCCAAAAGTTCGAGCCCTCCGGACATGGATCCCGGAAAGCTTCTCCAAAGACCAAAACCCGTAATCTTTCATAAGCCTGAACCAACTGCTGGGAGGGAATGGGGCCTTCAAAAGAAGCCAGAGCCCCCGACAAGCGCTAAAGAGTTCAGGACTGGGTCGGCTTCCTTCGAAGTGTTACCGACCATCAGGCAGGGACTGCTTGGGAGTCGGAGCGGTCGCTTTGGGGTTTAGGTAGTATGATTAGGGGTCTCTTAAAAGGGACCTTATTGAGAGGGTCTATATCCCCAAGGGTCCCCCTAATCCTAGCTCCCAGGGTTCAGAGGCTCAGAGGGTGGCTTGCTTCCCGGCGCTGAGTTTCGGGTTCACGGTGCAAGGAGAGGCTGCAGAAGCGAGTTTGGAAAGAGAATGATGCTGATCGCAGCGGTGAGGGGGTTCCCCACTCTCCAGCATCCGAAACACGCCGAGAGCCCACAACTTTTGCGCACGTTCGTCTTTCGCAAGTTGCAGTCAACCCCTACCCCTCCATGTCCAAGTTGCGCGAGTTGAAACCTGGACCACTCGCACATCCAAAGTTGAACCAGGACCTAACCCCTCGCCCGAACTCTAAAAGCACCGTTAGGGTTCAGGATTCAGGGTTTTCAGAGAGACCTCGTTCAAAGGGGTTTAAACTCAAGTAAAGCCCTAACGCCCAACAAATGTAAAAGCTCTTGGCCCTGACGCGAGGTGGAACATCCGCACTTTTGGTCGCTCGTTGGCAGAGGCGGTGACAGTCCCTCGGCTTTCGTTGCTTTAGGGTCTAGGTCTATAGGGTCTCCCGAGGCAAACTTCAGACAGATCATTGGGCTTGGGGCCGAGGCTACCCTAAACCCTAAACTCCTAAACCCTAAACTCCTACCCCTAAACCCTAACCTAAACCCTAACCTAAACCCTAAACCCCTAAACCATAAACCCTAGGACCTCGGAGCCACATCCGCCGATTCGGATCCCAAAAACCCAAGCCCCTGCGATTTGTGCCATGCCCGGGCCTACACTTCATGAACTATGCCTATGCAATACTACTATACTGCACTGAACTATACTACACTGTCTCATGCTGTACGTTATACACTTTATGGTGCACTATGCACTAGACGCTATACACGGTACTATACTGCTACAACCGGAGGTAGTGCTTGCTCCCAGGGCACCCCGACAGTCCACGGGAAAGGCGGGCACCAGTCCCACACCAAGCATTATGAAGGTCTCAAGGGCACTACAAGGGTACTGTAAGATAGTATAGGGTACTACGAAGGCCGTTAAAGTTCTTTTTGTGGGAGAAGTCTCGATGGCGGTTTTTAATTAGTGGCTCCTGCAATTGTTCGTGAGTTCTCTCGCTGTTGGGGTTTTGCCCGCTGCGGCATGTCATGTCGCCGTTCCGGTGAGGTTACGACTACATCCAACGCAATGTCTGGATGACAAACGATGGCTTCCGGGACTTCATGCACTTGGGCTTTTCACGAGGGCTTTGGCTCTGCAGGGCTGTCCTTTCTAAGGCCCAGGTTCAGCTTTCGGGAAGCGCCAACAGGCTCAATGCCAAAGCTTGGATGCCCATACGGGCTTTCCGAATGCTTTTTAGGGGTCCTTGTATGATCGGGATCCTATTATTTACGGTCTACTTCAGCCCCCCCATCATTTTTCCACACTGCCACACCTACGAAGCCTCATGCGGAGGGAGCAGTGTGCCGGGGAGGTATTATTCGCCCTTGACGCACGTGATCGCCCAGCTGGCAAAGACCAGGGAGGTGCGCCCCACCACGGACGTGCTGATCGTAAACCCCAACGAAGCTTGCCTGGCATTTGGCGTTCTTTTGTATTTCAGACGAATTAACTCGATCCCAGGAGCTCAGGCTCTGAAGAGGAGAGCAAGGCCGGCATTCGTGCACACGGCAAATCTTGCACGTTCGGATCAAACTCAGCCTCCTCAACCCACGAGATTCCAAGAAAAGTGCCATCTCGAAACGGTTCTCAGTTCTCAGCCGCTACCCTCCTACCAGAGGGAAACTAGGGAACTTGAGCCGCGGCCTGGCTTTTAAAGAGACATCGAAGCAAGCCCAAAAAGGAAACCCAGATGAGAGCCCCAAACCATAAACCCCTGAATGTTTTCAGGGATGGTGATACGTGCCGTTCCTTGTGCCAAAGTGCAATCGTCGTGGTACCAGGAACCTCGCCTAGGCATGTCCGAGAGTGAGTGCTGAAACCCCTAAACCCCTAAACCCTAAACCCTGATCCCCAACCCCTAACCCCTACACCCTAAACCCCTAAACCCCTAAACCTTAAACCTTAAACCACAGGGCTCAGGGTATCCAGTCGGTATCACGCCAACCAGCACACATGGAACCTCGCCTGGCTTGCCCGAGTTGTGAGAGCGTAAATGTGAGCCAGTTGGCTCAAGAACTTAGAGTTGGAAGTTTTGCAAAGTTGGAACGCAGACGTTTCAAGAGCTCTTGCGGCAAGAGTGCTTTCTCCATTGCATGGGGTGTCGGAACTTCGAAAGCATGTCTCCCAAATTTTTGCTGCAGGAGGGGGTTCGAGTGTAAGGGTTGTGGACTCAGGCTTCGTGCAGTTAGATTCTGGCTGCTAGTCCCAAGAAGCTTGACATTGAACAGTTGCCTGAACGGGAATTCTCCGCTTCCTGCCCTCGCAGGGTGCTACATGTAACTGTAGCGGCAAGAACTCCAGAAGAAGAACCCGAGTAATTGGAATCCAAGTTCCTGTAAGCCGGTCGAAGGCTTCATGCCAGTCCCTAAGGGTCCAGGTACCCAAATAGTATGGTTTTAGGTCCAAAAATCCATACGGGTACTTGGACCCTTAGTAGCCTTAGTTCTATGCGAGTTCAGAGACAAAAGGAACCGAGGCCTCATGACTTTTAGACCCGAAGCTGGCAAGGCTTTTTTCCTGTGTAGGATGAGGGGCCTAGACCAGATATGCTGCCTTTAACCCAAAGCTGAAGAAGCACAACCTTGAATCGTAAGTGCTACACCTGAAAAGTAGTACCCGAAAGCCCCACAACAGGTAACTCGCGTAGCTGACATCTAAATTCGAGAGCTAACAACCGAGGATGGCATCGGCTGGCACCAGGACAATCAGAATGGTCCCATCGAGTCGGATTACGCGCTTCGGCGCCGAGATATTCCTTGCGGTCTTTTCGGGTGGTTTCAGACGAGATGAGCTGAAACCCGGTATGACCTAGGCCATCGCGATTTAGAGGCACGCCCTATGTCAATTCTTCCCTCTTTTTCAACCACAGACCGTCTGAAGGTTTGCCATCACACTTGCTAGAAATCCTTCTCAAACAGGCTGCTGTGTATTTGGGCCGTGCAGCAACAAAAATCTATGCCATGCATCTTCGTAGTTCAGAAAGTTGTATACTGACGAAGCCGAAGGGGACCTGCTGAGTCTAGCTTTCTCTAGCCACGGCTTGGTGTTTCAAGGGTGTCAGGGTCTGTAGTCTGGCGCGACGACGTCCTTCCGACATGTCGGGTTTAGGTGTAACTTTATCCCTGGAGGTCGGGGGGGTGTGGGGGGATGGTGTGTCGGCGATGCGATCATGATGTACTGTCATCGCCGTTGAGGAAGCTCAAGGATTCTGGTTCGTTTACAGCTTAGGCACACGAAACCGAAACGAGGATAGCGCACATTCCGGAGAGGATTCCGAGAGATCCCACTATATCACATTATGGCGGGGCCCCCTCTTCAGAATCCGTGCGAAGATCTGCCTCATCAAAGAATCTGCGCGCTGCACACAATCATATCGGAGTTGTCAGACGCACTGTCCCTGTTTATTTAGGTTACGTGCACATAGGGGCCTTAAAAGAATATGAGGCACACACATTTGAAACACTTGCCCCTACACCAAGATGAGAATGCGCATCGTGGGTTTGGAACTGTCGAAATGTCCCCACCCTAAGCCTCGCAATAGAACTCAGCACCATACAATCATGCCTCAAACCCCCATTGACCCGAACTTGTTTGAGGCTATTCGCTGGTGGGTCGCCATGGACAAATGCGGGGAGAACAAAGTCGGTGTGCCAGAGCCATGACGCTGTTCATCAGGATTTTGGATGTCGGGTTTCAGGGCTATGCCTGTAGGCTTTAGGGTTTAGGGTCTAGTGACTAGACCCTAAACCCTAATGCCTACTTAGCGCTTTATCATTTGGAGCTCAGGCTTAGGCATTAGGACTAACGGACCTCTGTACCAGGCAAGAGGTATAGTTTCTAACAGGCAACGGGCACGCCTACGCCCTAAACCAGAGCCTGAAGGCGCAAAATAGAAAAAGCGATAGAAGCCTATTTCCTGCCTCAACCCTTAGATAGATTTGAGCAACAATCTCTGCATCGCCATGCCCATTCGGAGGATATTTGGAACATGAAGAAGCAAGAAGAAAATCTGCCGGAGGCACTCGAAAAGCTGGAGAGCTTAAGCTGGAAGTAAGATGTGCAACAGCCGCCCTACATGCAGAAATGCACACTATCAGTCGGAATACTTTGCATTGATGATACTTGCTGAAATAAGTAGGCTTCGAACGTCGGTCGTAACGGTCGCATTCGGGCACCCCAAACCCCAAATTGTCCTACAGACACAGCGAAGTTTGACGAGTTTGAGATGCATGTACGCTTTCTGTGGGCTTGATTTCTTTTCATGTCGCCCTGCTGCTTACTGCCACCCCACGTAAACCCCGGGGACTTCCATGGGCTCTACGGGGACACTGTGCTTTGCCAATGAGGAATACCTGATCGGCTCACATCGCAACACCTCCGTATCTGATGCCGTCGCTGTAGACGTCACCTCAGGCGACCTTGCACAGAGTCTTGGCATTTATCCTGTCGAAGACCAGTACCGATGGTTCCTAATCTCGACCCTTCACACTTTGATGCTGAAGACAGAGGTCACAATTTGTTGGTACTGGGTCGAAGTGGTTTATTGGCCCGCAGGCCCAGAAGATAACCCAATCGCGCTGTGCCTTGCAGAACCCGCAAGGTTCATAGATTTGGTACTTAACTATCTATAGTTCTGTAAGCTGTGCCCGGAACACGAAACGCGAAGGCACGCTCCTATGAGTGTATACATCTTGAGCCGTCCTTGAGATTGAAAATCATCCAACTGCGAAGGTACACTTGCAATTAGATATAATGAATAGTGTGCAAATGTGGATGGTTGTATGTGTGGCTGCCAACATGTCAAGGTTGGCTTACCTCCCCCACGCTTCCGAGCCGAACAAGGGCTTATTAGCTGATTATGCATAAGCCCAATATATGCCGTAGGCCAAATACCCCATATCAAAGATGGTGCAGGGATTAAGGTTGTTCTGCGGGTTTTGTGTTGGTGAAGGACGCTCATGCGGCTGCGATCTTGCCTCCATGAGTAGTCGGTCAAACAGTCTTGGGCTGTGTCCTAGAACAGGGGGGTGCGCTTGCGCACTGCTTGCGCGAAGCTTGCGCGCGGCTTACNNCGCATCTCCCCATCAACCACACATTTCTGGACGCGTCATAACAGAGTTTTCCCGGTAACTGGTGTTTCCAAATGAACTGGTGTTCCTGGGTTTTGGTTGGCTATGCCTGCTATGGTTGGAGCCTCGTCTGCAGTACCCCAAACGATGCCCTAACAGATCGGCTCCTGCAGTACCCCAAACAATGCCGCAACAGATCGGCTCCTGCAGCACCCCAAACAATGCCGCAACAGATCGGCCCCTACAGTACCCCAAACGATGCCGTAACAGATCGGCTCCTGCAGCACCCCAAACAATGCCGTAACAGGTCGGCTCCTGCAGTACTCCAAACAATGCCGTAACAGATCGGCTCCTGCAGTACCCCAAACAACGCCGTAGCAGATCGCACTGCGTTGAGTGGGTACCATAACATCAGTCGATTCTGCCTGTGCCTTGCGGGAAGCCTCTACAAACCACATATGTCTTGAGAGTTTCGAGCTAGTCCCGCGTGGTACTCTGCAAGTATGTGGTGAGGTTTGTGGACGCGTTGAGTCGATACCTTAACATCCATCAATTCTTGCTGTGCCTTGCGGGAAGCTTCTACAAACCATACATTCTCTTGAGAGTTTCGAGCTTCTCCCGCGTGGCAATCTCCAAGTAGAGGTAAGTTTGTTGGTGAATGCGGCATGTTGTGAGCCTCGTGTGCCATGGGGTTTGGGGTTGTGGGCCATCTACTTGACATGTTGGGCTACCCGCTGTGCCATGGGGTTGGGCTATCTAAAGGGTGTTTGGGCTATGAAACCACGCGCGCTCGTAGACAGACCTTCGGCTCTTGTCACTTCTGCAGGAACTTTCTCTAAGGTTTAGCAAATGCACGGACTACGTGGTGGAGCCCGGCGACCTCATCGTCTGGAACACACGGTCCATCCACAGAATCCGAGACTCGGTCGAAAGCTGTAAAACTTATGTAAAGGCTCAAAGGATGGCTCAGCAACTTGTTTTGCTCAGATTTCGTGGGGTTTCTGTCAAGCTAATGTAGGTTTCAACACGCTCCTCTTTCTTGGCGTTCTCGTGCACTTTCATCCCATCGACAGGCGGCAGCCAGCTTCGGCGAGTGCTGCAGATCCTGTAGACCACGATGATAGCACTAGTCAGAGAATGACCATAGCGACTATACTAATCATTAAAATCTATACGTGCCTAGAGCGGGACCGCACCTAATATTGTAGTCGTAGATCTTGCGAGTAATCGCGACCAGGAGCTCGAGTAGTCGTGGTAGTAGCACGTGCGCAAGTTCCTCCGGGCTCCATCGCAGCTTGAACGACTTGCTTCCTCCAAGTTGACGAGCAACAGCAGCCAGTAAGCTTAATCCTCAAACTCTCAACCCCTAAACCCTTGATGATGAACCTGCTGCTATATAAGATTATATACGTATGTACCCCTGAGCCGTGAACACCCCTGCTAGCCACCCAAAGCCCGAAACCTTAAAGCGTCTACCAGGAACCGTTGCGCCCCAGCCTAGAAGCCGGCACCATTAACAAGACAGCAAACCCCAGAAAGTTGGAACATGGTTTTAGGAGGATTAGTGCTAGAACCCCCTATACATTAGCTTATGGGCATGAGGACAATCATGTTCCAACTTTCTGGCTTCTACGATACTATTCCTAAGGGCTCCTTGTTACAGTTCTTGTAGAATATTCCCCTACCTATAGTCTCCATGGTAGTTCCTTTTTTTGGTTTAACGGTTTCTATATTAAGGATCCTGAAAGGCAACCCCAAAAAGGAACTACAATGGAGACTATGGGTATATCCCAAATGCTTTGAGATCAGGTCCCCATCCTTCTGGGAAGTGGCCCGAGGGAACGCAGTCCCTCTTCAGAGTTGGCAGCCAGTTCTGGCTTTGGGTTTGGGGGGTTTTGGGGCAGTTTGCGATGTAGAACTTTCAGGGGGATTCGTGTTGACAAGATGTGGTCTTCAAGATACGGGGTGCTACAACCCGCGATGCGACAACTTGACATTGGAGCAGTACCGTTTCACGATCAACAGTTCGGCTTATGGGCGCGGGTTCAGGGCTAGAGGACATAAACTAAGAAACTCATAGCATGAGTGCTGTTGTCGATTCGGTTAGACTGTCCAGACTCCCGTACTAATCGTTGCACCCGCGTTTCGGGGTGATTGGTAGCGGATACTCGAAGGTTCATTACAGAGCATTTGCGAGCTGTTATACATGGGGAGCTGATCTACTGTGGTGTATGGACCCTTTTCGCGAATGCAGATTCAAGCGATGCCGACAGGGAGCATTATCTGGAACACCTCAGGACAGGCGTTAGCACTTCCATGCCTGGCAACGAGCCACATGTACCGCCAGGGAGTCTGTAGCAGTTGCACCAAGTTCCAGCCCAGGAGACGTGCGCACAGTGGGACGATGGCAGTCAAAGGCCAGCAATGCTGTGATTGTCGAGGTCAGAACAAAAAATCTTTGTTTACATAACATGTAGGAGGCAAAATAATTAATATGGGAGCCTGAATCATAAGAATAGGTTTCAGAAGGGACATCGAACAGGGTTGCGATAAGCGCGCAATAACAAACTCTAAACCCTACGAAGTCAAACCCAGAAGCCTGGGAGGCGCCAGCTACGCTCCCCGGGGAGCTGCGAGCTCCATCAGCGACGTTGCAGGGCACTCGCTGGAGTTGGGCCAACCACTGGCAGGTCACTGGCCGTTTGCCGGGACCGGCTCAGGGTGAACATCTAAGGGCCTGGATTACTTAATTACTGTTTATCATAGGATTCCTCAGTAATGACTATACCAAAAATATCCCATAGCCTTCTTCGAATCATTCAGGCTTCTATATTACGTAGTTGCTCGGCTAGGACTGATGTGGATCCGCAGCTGGCAGACATGATTTAGGGTCTCTGAGTTGAGTTTATAGGTTGAGGTGTTCTGGGGGCTAGGGGTGTAGGGTTATGGAGTTATGGTTAATCTAACGGTTTAGGGAACGTTGAGTAGGAGGCCCAACACATATGATGGCCTTGGAAAGGGAATGCTTGAATCAGAGGCCTATGCTACAGAACTGTGGACCGCAGATTCGGGGGTCTACTGTAAGAGAAAAGCCTTATCAAGCAGCACCGCCATTTACAAAACCCTTCTTAGAACCCTCTCAAAATCTGGCAAAAAGCTCCATGAACTCTTACAAGCCCGTCAAGAGTCCCCATTCTACGGATGTAACTTCCCGGCTTCACTTGCTGCTCTCCCTGAGAGAAATTCAGAAAAGAAATCCCAGAGTTCGCGTTAGCATTCGGTTTGTCAAGGTATTGGGATTGAAGTTTCGCTTGCGGGTGACGTGGTATCTCAGACTTACAGAGTTGCTGGCTCATGGGGTTTTCAAGGGACTACCTTACAGGGACCCTTGGGGTTATATTAGGGGCTTTATGAGACTATATAAGGGGTATATAAGGGTGATACAGGGTATTAGGAGTAGGGGTCCCTTCTAGGGGTCCCTCCTATTATCCCTTATAAGGTCTTGGAGTTCCATCTCGAAGGCCTCTGTGGGTCGACTCAGAAGTGCGTTTCCTTAGGGTTTAGGGTTTAGGATTTAGGGTTTAGGGTTTAGGGTGTAGGGTCACAAACCTCACTGCAGCCAAACTCTCTGGACCGGACCAATTCTGCGACGACTTCCATAGCTGAACCATATACTATGGCGGGCTAGATAATTACCTATACATAATATTTTGGGAGTTCTTTAAAACCCTATTCTAACTATTAAGGCCCCTATATTACGTGAAATTTCTAAATTCTGAGTCGTGTGTGGTCTAAACCGGACACCCTCTCTCAGAGGCAAGACCCTGAGCCTTCAGTTCCTTGGTTTCCTTTAATAGGTTCCGTAAAGGTCTTAATGTAGGGGCCTTAATAATTAGAATGGGGTTTGGGGGTATTCTAATTATCAAGGCCCCTACATCACGGAGTTTTGGCTAGGGTTTAGGGCTGAATGCCGGGGCCTGGCTACGGGTTTTGCCAGGCCCCTACTTTCCGCAGCTCTACCCGGCACGAATCGCCGAAGAGGACCACCAATGCGAGACCACCGGGTGTTTCTACTTGAAGCCGTAACGGCTTAGGAGTACCTTTTCATGGGGTCCTGCAACTAAGCATCCCAGAAATCTGTAAGGTTCGGTCTTGGATAAGAGCATAGATCATCATCCGTTATGACAGTATCCGAAAGACATGGTTCCATCCATTACAAGTTGTTCGTGCTATCCGGTGCCTCAAGGTTCAAGAAGTGACCGGAAACTGCAGGAGGAAGCCCGCACACGTGGCGAATTGGTGAGTCGATCCCCAGACACCTGGCACTGTTGGGACTTTCTGGTTGGGGGGTTGTGGGGCTTTGAGAAGCCTTGTGGTGTTTTAGGGTCTACAAGCAGCCTGATCGGGATTTCTTTGGGGATTCTATAAGGGTTCGCTAAAGGGGTTTACGGCTTTTGGGGCTTAGGGTTCACAAGTTTCGGGCCAGTGCAAGAGAGCTTAGGGCTCAAGCTCTGAGGTTTGAGGTTCACAGCAACTGCTTTAAACTTCAAGAGTCGCATTTTCCCCATACCCTATGAAAAGCAAAGGGTACCGGCATTACTCTGCGATTGTCTGTGGGCAATTTTCTTTGGGGGGAGTTCACTGCCACGGTGCCTTTTGAGACTGCACAAGGGTTCTCAGGCTGAGCGCTACACCAGGAACTCCCATACACTCCTCATGCCACCTCTCGGCTCACTTCCGCTGTTCCATGGACATGCCATGGACTTTGCGGGTTGCTGACTTTCATGCCGCCAGCTTCGAAATCCTGTCAACCAGCAAATCACACAGATCCAAGAGCAAAGAGCTGACACTGGGGCGTGGAAAGCAAAGTTGTCAGTCCTTGGCAGTATATGAATATGAATGAATATGACGATGAGGAACCGAAGCCCTAAATTGTTCATTTACTGGGACTTGAGTGGAAGGGTACTTCTTGGACCTTCCGAGGGCCAAAGGGCGAATGGGAGTAGGAGCTCCTTCCTGAGCGTCCTAGCGTTTGCAACCTACCCTAAACCCTAAACCCTAAGCCCCTAAACCCCAAATCGCGAAACCCCTAAACCCTAAACCCTAAACCCTACCTGCCTCCCACCCTTCCTACCTACCTGCCTTCTTGCCCACCCACCTACCTACCCCTGCCTCCCTGCCTACCTCCGACCTACCTGACTACCTACCTATCTAAGCTATCTATCTATCCATCCATCCATCCATCCATCTATCTATCTATTCATCTATCGATTTATCTGTATACTATATACAGAAGCCCTAACAAAAATCCCTTCAGGCCTGCTTCGAACACGCAAGATACACGCAACAGTCATCAAAAGCGTCGTACTGTGGTACTCTTGATAGTAATGAAATGCTAGCTTTGCCACTGAGCCTTATATCCTACATCCTAAACCCTAATCCTTAATCCTAAACTTAAGCTACGCGAAATCCTGAATCCCCCCATCCCCCTGTTACAACAGAGCAAGCACAAACACCAAAAACAGCAAACCTGAACCGTCCCCCTTCCTCAAAATACAGAATCCTAAACGTGCTGCCAAAACCCTAAACCTATGCGGAGCCTTGCCGGCCTTGTGCGAGTGTGAGAGTCGAAAAAACCCTAAACCCCCCAACAAACCTAACCTTAAACCCTACGGCCCCCAAAAGACCGAACCCTAAACCCTAAACCGTATGAAGCCTAAACCCTATAAACCCTAAACCTTAAACCCTATACCCTAAACAACAAACAAGCCGAGGTAGGCCTGGCTCGGAACCTTCAGCCCCTCCTCGATCGACTCACGGGCTCCGATGGCTTCGTTGCGAAGACGTACCAGCGATGAGTACAAAATAAGGAACCGTTACTTAGAGTCAGAGCAGCCCCGACAGAGAGGCATGGAAGTGCAACATTGTGCTTAGGGTTTAGGGTTTAGGGTTTAGGGCGTTTTTGACGGGGGTCTTGCACGTCTTCGAACTAGGTGCCAAAAACTATGGTCGACGAAAGCGTCGACCGTGATCACGAATAAGAACATCCCTATTAATGATCATCGTATTGCTAGTAATAGAATCACTAGAACTAATAATGCAACAGTGAAGCTGAAATTAGACCAATACATAGCAATAACACTAGTGATATAGACAAGGACATCAGTATATATCTAATACGAGTAGTAATCGAGAATCTGATGAACCAGTCATCGCAATAGTAACGCTACGAGTACTACAAAACAATAACACCAATCATATATAATAGTAACAGTACGAATAGCCAGCGCTAGTAAAGGAAATAATAGAGAGTCGGAAATGGGGGTTTCCGAAAATAGGGGGACCCTAATATAGTACCCCAAATAGTCGGATCCTTATTATGAGGACCCNNCCCCCCCCCCCCCCCCCCCCGCATTATCCAAAAAAAAACCCAGATCACCGAGGTGGAGTCGCCGGGCGCCGGGGATGGCATCCGCACCTGGCGGCTTGTCGAAGGCCGTGCTGTCGACTTTAAGACCTTGAGAGGTATAGGGTTTAGGGTGTAGGGTT